GGATACAAGAAAAGAGAAAGCCTAGAATACTTAATGCACAAACACTGGCAACACAAGATAACAAATGAATACAAAAAGATAATAAAAGAAGAAACTGAAAGGTGTCAAAGAAATTGTAACAAAGGGAAAGAGAAAAAAGACTCAAAACTGAAAATGCCATTAATTACGAACTCGGAGTATACAAGAAACTATATAGTAAGAGGAATTCTGACCAAAGAGATAATCCGATATATATATCAGTTTGCAAGGGAAAAAACAAAAGAAGTATGCAGAAGAATTATTAAGAGAACAACAAAAGTAATCAACAAGTTATAAAAAAAAAGATATGAAGAAATCATAGAATGGGAAGAGATAAACAATATTAGCAGAGTGGACAAAAGAAAGTGAAGACACAGATCATATCAAACAGAAATTGAAAGAGACAGGAAAAAAGAAGAAATAATAGCAAATAGGAAAAAGAACCTAGGACGGAAATTGCTGGCAAGATGGATTAAAAACATAGACAAAATAACAAGAAATAATTTTTTTTATTTATATACTAGTGACATTAACAATAGTGATGCCTTGGCACATTAGTTTCAACCTCTATTTATTAGGAAAAGTTGATAGCAACAGCTGATATCTAGGAAATCTTAATATAGTTTAGCATACACTCATCAATTAATGTTATAGCATAGTTTATATATAGAAATGTGTACAAATATATGTAAATATTAACTTTAATAAAGTTTGCTAAGCAAGGTTAAACTAGTTTTAAAAAAAAAATAAAATAAAATAAAAATAAAAAACAAATTTATATATATAGTGCAAGTATTTTTGTCCTATACTGTATATAATATATAAATATTTTTAAAATTTTAATATAAAATATGTAAGTTATATAAGTTAAATAAATTAAATTTTAATATATGTCAATAAAAATAATTTATATAAGTTATACAATTTTAGTTACAATTCATATATTAAATTTATTATAAGTTGATATTAAGGTTTTTAATAATATTATTTTGATATCAAGTTGATACTAAATTTATTATAAGTTTATAATAGATCACAACTTATATATTAAATTTATTGTAAGTTAATACTATTTTAGTACTTAGTAAGTTAATATTACATATTTTGATATTTTTAAATATTCAATATATATAATAAAAAAAATTTTTTTTTTTTTATATACGTATAGCTTTTTTTAAAAAAATTTTTTTTTATAATAATTTTCTTTTAAAATTAATGAAACAATTATTTTTTTTGTCTTTAATATTCAAAAGTTCTTTTATTTTATTATAAAAGTTTTAAAAAAATCAAAAAAATATATTAATATATTAAAATAAGATTTTTGATCAAAAAAAAAAAAAGGTTTGTAACAATTATTTTTTTATAATTTTTCTTTTATTTTTATTTTTTTTTTAATATACAAATTTTATTAAATAATTATATTTTTTTTTTTTGAAAAATTTTTTTTAATTTAAAATTGTTTATATTATTGATTTGAAAAATTAACAATATATTTAATATTTATCTTTTATTATTGCTTATTATATCTTGTTATGTTATAAAAAACAAAGAATTTCTACTCAAAAAATTTTTTATGAAAAAATTATAATCAATTTACTTTTATTAATTAATTTTTATTTTAAATTTAATTAATCAAATATTATCAAATATCAAAACAACTTTATACAATTAAAACATTATACAATAATTAATATAAACAAAACTTATTCTGGTAACAATAAAAAAAAAAAACTATACTACTAATTAATAAAATAATAATAAAATAAAATATACTTTATTATCTGCATTAACAAAAATTATATTTACAAGTGATAAGAAACATAAGTGATAAAACAATAAGTCTGGTCTGAAAGTTTTTTTAAAAATATAATTTTTTTTAATATAGATTTTATAATTTATTTATATTTGTTTTATTTAATTATCTTAATAATTTTAAATAAATATTTATAGTTACTTGACATTATTTTCAATATATATCAGGTTTAATATTTATTTTTCTTTACTGCTTAGATAGTTTATTATAATCAAGCTAGCAGTAAATTTATTGATTAATTGATTATATAAAAAATATTATTACTTTTTTCATATATAAAATATTTATATTTTTTACAATTTAATAAAACAATAATGTTTATCTACTAAATATATATATATATAATAAATTAATTTGATTTTTTGATTTAATAAAAATAATAAAATAAATTTTTCTTATATATTGAAGAATAAGCAAAACTTTCAAAAGGTTTTAATAAAAGATTTTATTTCAGTGAATTAGCTGTCTAAGATTCTTGAATTCTTAAGCTAAAAGCTCACTTGTAATAAAAAGTAAAAAGTATTTTTCTTGACAAAAGTTACTATAAATAGAAAATTTTTAACAAAATGGATATGCTCACTCAGAAGAGAATTTTTAATTGTTCTGGTAATTAAATAATTATATTTATAAAATCAAAATTGGATTATGCAATATAAGGTTTTCAAATAAAAACTTGGCATACAAAAAAAGTTAAAAGTATTTATATAAAAAGATAATATTTCATTCATTGAATTAACCAGATCACTAGCATAGTAGGTTGCATTGATAACCAAAACGACCGATCGTGTATGCATCCAAAAATTTAGTCGTCACCGCTGTACCTACGTTCAGACTTTTTCGCGGATCGGCGCATCTTTTCGGATTTTCGTCTGGCATCTTCCACTTTTTTCCTATTTAATAGAAAAGAATAATTTGATTCAATTAAAAATAAAAAAAAATAATAATAATAAACAATTTAATAAGTTCTCACAATTTTTCAATTCGTTGTAATGTTTCTTCGCTTGGACCTTCTGGCACCTGAGCTGCTTCCACTATGCTTTCATACAATTTCTCTATACAATCCTCTATGTTCTTTACTTGGGAACGCGTTTTATCGGAAGTTATAATCAATTCGTTTTTTTTATTTATTTTATTAGATTTCTGATGAGTTTATTTAAATTTTTATTACTTTCGTGATGTGAACATTATTTGTGTTCTTCAGTCAAATGCATTTTTTTATTTACCTGAATCGCCAATTGCTTCCGTGCATACTCGGGTATCCAATGTGCTTGACCAAGATTAAATCGCAAGTCTACCTTTGTGTTGACTATTTGCGAAAAAAACTTAATTGAATTAGAATCCAAACATTCGAATTGCGTGATGCGGTTAAAAGGTGAACATGCCTTTGTTCACATTCTGTCCGCCGGGTCCGCTACTTCGAGCAAAGGACATATCTAACGAATCTGTTATTTTGATCAAGATAATACAGTAATAAGTCAGATTCTACTTTCAAATAAAATACGAATTGCATATAACGGATACCTCTAGGAATACTGTCTTTGGTGAACTTTTTCAACCACCTCTTGGCTCGCTCAACATCTTGCGGAGTATCTAAGCTTGATATTGGTCTTCTTGATAAATTTATAAAACTTATACCCAAGTGTTTATATAATGGACTGACCACGTTAATGACTGTTAGACATTTTCGAGACTGGAAAAGAGACATGTTGGACAAAATTTATTTTGATGACAAAAATTTATTCGATAAGATCTCCAAAACGCAGAATTATATTATTAAACCTTGGATTTTTTTTCACCAGCATATACTGTAAGTTTGATTGATGTTTGTCAAGATGAAAATTTTTTCGATTCGATGTCCAAGATTTTAGTCTTCAATAAAAGTTAAAATTTATATATGCTCTAAGCTTATATTATATGCACATATAATTAATTATTATAATTCTTTGATTTCAAGTAAACTTTTTGAAAACATTAAAGTTATAACACTTTAATAAACAAAAAATAATAAATCAAAACTTAATTAAAACATTATATAATCAGGATTTATTTAGCTTGAATTATAACAATAAACTGTAACTTTTAATTTTAAGAAGAAAGAGTAGGTGGAAAATTATTAATAAATATTTATTATAAATACTGTATATACAGTAACAATTATTAAAATCAAATAATAATAATAACTTTTATATAAAACAAACTATATTAAATGGTATAAAAAATAATAATTCAAAAGAAATAAATAGAACTTACAATTATCGGAAAAGATATCCCTTTGCAGGACGAATGAAATCTAATCGCGTTTGACTAATGACACGTGATTCGGATTAAAAATCGAATTCAATAGAGTATCATGCATATCGCCCTAGACGAAATATGGAACAAAATACCATTTTGTCAAGTCAGCAGATCCCCTTAGCTGACTCAAAGAAGCCCTTGTTCAGTGAGCTCTGTCGCTTCCTGGAGATTGTCGCGAAAGAAAAGGGCGACGCGAAAAAAAGAAAACTAGATAGTTACCTCAAAGTGAGCACTCCGAAAAACTAGTCATTTTCCTTGAATTACACGATTCCTGATATGTCATCAATTTATTCGATAATGCGTATAGAACTGGAGACGAAGATACGGAAATGACCTCTATCCAATCTTGCGATTATTGGTTCCGCACGTAAATTGACTTTCAATTCCCGATAAACGTATTTTTTTCCGATAGAGAAGTTACCACTATTTGTTTTTGTATATGCCAGCTGGACAAAGAAAGGACGAGCTATGGTATGAAGGAAAATGTCATCGCAAAAATATACGTGGGAGTTTTGGGATTATCAAAAAATTCGACAAATGCTGAACGATTGATTCACTGGAAGATGCCTGGTAGCAATAAGAATGTAAGAAGTGATCATCCATTATATGATCTCGATTGAGAATTATAAGATACATAAAATACACGCAATATTAAAATCAAAACTTAATCAATATTTAATCAAGAGAACGGCGGGTGACTTCGCATCAATAGCATTTGAAGTGATTGCACCGCGATCCACCGTTATCGGACATGGAAAGATGTCAATTGACGATGTGAACAATCAGCTGGACATCCTGAATGCTGCTACTGGCCAGTGCGTGTGATAGGTGTCCGCTTCACGTTGATATTTTCTTAGTCTGATTATAACAACTGATTAAATTTTTGCGGAAAATCAAGTCAAGAGTACAAAAATGTTATTCGTCATTTCTTTGCCAATTACACCGCCATAGAGCAAAAATGGATCATTCGAATCATCCTAAAAGGTACCCTTGGGCGAATTCAAAGTGCAATAATTTACCATCCATTAATATACATGCATTCTCCCTCCCGGTTTATTAGCACTTAACGTTGGATTAAGCGAGAAATTGGTGTTTCAAATGTTTCATCCGGATGCATCGACGTTGTTCAACGTGTGCAGTGATCTGAGAAAGGTGGCTCGCGATTTGCAAGAACCTCACACGAGGTTATCCTTATCAGTTAAGGGATTTCCATGAACTCGCGAGATTTTCTACTATCATACCGCTAATCATTGTGATCATGATTACAGGAAATAACGGTTTTTCATCCCTTTAAGCCCATGCTTTCGAAACCAGTAGCCATTCAGAACATCATAAAACAGATGAATGGAAGTTTTTGGATAGAAGAAAAATTAGATGGTGAAAGAATGCAACTGCATATGAAAGACGGAAGGTTCGAATATTATTCAAGGTAAGTCATTCGACTTCAATTGACTTGATGGTGCACGAATGCATTTTTTGATCTTGTGCGACGATTTTTTTTTTTTTAGAAAAGCTACACAGTATACGTACATGTACGGACCAAATAAATATGAGGGGTCGCTGACGCGATATATTTACGATTCGTTTAATCCAAGGGTCACGGAGTAAGCTGTTTTAACTTGATATAATGGCATCTTTATGTGCAATAACGTTGATCGATATTTTGTTAGAATCATCCTCGACGGAGAGATGATACCATATGATTCAAATTCGGACATTTGTATGCCCTTTGGTTTTTTGAAGCCAATCGCCGCGGGTGAGTAAAAGTTATGCAAAGTTATTCAGTGGAATATCCATTATTATTTCAAGTTTTTTTTATTCACTATATATTTTAGACCAATCCGTCAGCGAGTATAGAAGCACGTATCCTTTATGTATCCTGATTACCTTTTCGGTATTCTTTTGATTTTTTGATTTCCTTGTCCTTGACCAATTCAAATCAAAAAAGTTGTTGTGTTCGATGTCGTTCTTATCAACGGAAAGATGATTATCGATCAACCTTTGGAAAGACGGCGCGAGTGGCTCAGATCCTTAATCACCGACAAACCAGGACATCTCAAGGTGCTCGGACATAAAGTGGGAAGGGAAATGAAAGACTTGTCGGAGGCATTAGATGAAGCCAATATGAAAAGGTTAATCTAGAAAAGAAAATAATATTTCAAAAAAGACTCCCAAAAAACGTAATACATATGAAAATTTAAACAGGCAAGAAGGGATAATTATAAAAAAGCCCACAAGCAATTATGTTCTCAACGAACGAACCGACGATTGTATCAAAGTCAAATTGGATTATTTGGATACGCTCGGGGATAGCTTTGATTTATTATTGGTTGGTGAGTGTTTCAACTATTCCTTTACGCTGAAATTAATCGTAATTGACCATGGAACCCTAAGAAAATCGCTTGACATTATAGGTGCGAATTACGGTCATGGAAAACGATCAAATTTGTTTGGTAGTTTCATGTGTGCTTTGAGAGATAGTAACGCGCCTGACGATGAACCAAGGTTATTTTCGCGAATCTCGTGTGTACTACTATGTGCTCTCGGATTATTGATATTCATGGCAAATTTTCGCGCGCAGGTTCTTAACATTCTGTCGATTCGGCACTGGATTTACAATGAAAGAGGGTGAACAGTTGAAAAATCTCGATGGATGGACGCGTTTTGATCAAGATAATGTTCCAGATTGGCTCATGCTGGGTCGTGACAAGCCGCAGATGATAATTCCACCAGAAATGTCAATTGTGGTTCAAGTGAAAGCGGCAGAAATAATACCCACAAGTAAATGAGGATTTCTTTGGTAAAATGAAAGGTGGAATAAAATTTGCAAAGTCTTGATTATTTAATTTATTATTTCAAGATATGTTTGCGGCAGACTTTACACTTCGATTTCCGAGATTCGAAGTGGTCCGTGACGATAAGGATTGGAGGTCTGCCACCAGTTTCGAAGGTGTTTATTCTGTTTTACGGCATGTTTGTTTGTACCTCCTTATATGTCTACTTTAATTTTCACCAAAAAAATTTGACATAAATCTACAGAAATGACGAATCTTAGGCTTCAGGCGGTAAGTCATTCTCAATCAAGGAAACTGACCGAGAGCGATATGTAAGCTGTTTAGCAATATACTGTAATAGTATTCAATGAGCTTTTGCTACCGAAATTGTACTGATTGCCTGAACATATAAACTAGGACAAACTTAAGATCTGCCAGGAGAAAGATCCGGACGGTTCGAAGGGTAACCATTTATTTAATCATACATTATTTTATATGGAAACAGAATTATTTTTTTTAAAAGATAAATTAAAATAACAGAGAGTCGGTTTGTTGGAAACATTTGTTTCTTTGGATTCCACAGTGGAGAACAAATCGGATATATTTAAGGGCATAGATTTTCGTGGGTATTGCCAATTCACAACCCACATTCTTCTTCATCGATAATTTATATATAATAATTCTATATTCAGATATAGTTGTTAAAGATTTTGACAAATCTGATTTGGAACGAATGATCAAAGAGCATGGCGGAAGGTTTTTCCAACATCCTGATGCCTCATCGGACCTACGTATCATTGCGGATTTGCAGAGTGAGTAGATCTTTGCACAACTTTTGTTCTTTGATTCATGCATCACTCTAATCCGCGAATCACTCGCACGCTGTAGCCACTCGAGTGAATAATATAATCAAGTCAGGAAAGCATGATGTCGTGCATCCGCAATGGATTTTGGATTGTGTGGATACGATGAAAACCATACCCTTGAGTCCAAAGTATGTAGCAGACTTTGCATTACATCATGACATAAATTGCCACGCACGCTGATCAAACCGTAGGTATATGTTGTATACTTCCGAATCTACGAAACGAGAGTTTATCACGAGGATGGATAAATTTGGTGACAATTATACAGATCTTGTCGACATCGATTCTTTGAAAGAGGTAGTCGATCTGCTTGCCTTGTATTGATTGATTTTCACGTGAAAATAACTAATTGACCACTAGATTTTTGAGATGATTCCCACCGACGAAGGGACCCCCGAGACCGATAATGAAAGAGAAAGAAAGCGTCGTCGGTTGGGCGACGACATTGAAAGACGATACTTTAAGGACAAAGGATTACCGAATGGTCTGTTTAGACATCATGTGATATACATTGACTATCCACCCTTGAGAAATGAGAATGATGCGATCGACGGTTTGTGGGCTTTGCAAGAAGGGTGCCGTGACAGGTGTGGAAAACAATGTGGATTTGCCGCAATGAGTATAACCCTCGTTAATCATGTTGTATGTACGTGAAATGATAGGTTGAAGCTCATCGAATCTATCCTTCGATATCACGATGCACATATTACAAGCAATTTCCGCTCAAACAGGATCACACATGTGATCTTTGATGAGCAAGATCTGAGTCGCGTTAGGGAACGAAATGATTATTATATCAGGTAAACCGCGAAAAGTTTTTAGAAAGAATTACGTCGTGTATTTGTTTGTTTATTTACTTTCATATGTAGTCGAGGTAGGAATCCACTGCCACAATTTGTACGATCATCGTGGGTAACAGATAGCGAAAACATTGGTGCACTATTACGGGAAAAAGGAATGTACCTTAAAATCTTTTTACCAAATGAAACGATTCTCATGTGTGTGAAGCATCCAATAATGATAATTTTTCTTAACAGATTACGACCCTTTGAGTTTGATGGAAGTCGTTATTGAATTGTAAATTCTGATATGCAATTTAAGGTTAAGTCGACCAAAGTATACTGAACTCGCAAAAATAGCTTTAAGGATAAGTTTTTTTAGGATTATTGAGCACACAATTCTTTATTAATAATTTTATTAATAATTTAGCAGTTGAGAATTGTATACAAGTGCATTCTGAAAATTACATGATATTTCAAGTGTCAACGATAGTTGCCGCCTACCTAGTATATGAACAAGATACACGAAAAAAGTGTCAATATAATAAATGATAAACAAATCAGTGTTCATAGTGTTCATTCGATTGAATTGAGGTCAGAGAACCTTGTATCAAACATGAATTACTTTCTGACGGCAATTCCTATCAATGAACATTTGGTGATTACTTTTCGTCATACCTCTTTGACGACGATCAATCGTGAGATCGAATGGGATGTATTTACAGCTTAAGGTCATAACAAATAATAAAACCAACCTTCAAACAACGTCACCTCGGTTGCACGTTACAACGTATCATCTAAAAATGTAAAATTCAATTTCACCTGATTAGTTATCAATATACAGTATATAAAGTTTGCAAAAGTTTGCATTTTTTTTTTTTTTTTTAAAAGGAAATGGTGGAAGGTCAGACATCCAAGGAAGGATATGTTTACCATCATCAGGTTATAAAACCTTTCGGTGGAAACTGCGAATAAAACGGTTTGTATCATCATATTTTTCCACCACTCTTTTAAAGATATCTTTGGATGATATACAACTTACCATCTGAGTACCCGTTCGAGGCGAGACGAGGCGCGCTAAAAGAAAAGTATGAAAAAAAACAAAAAAACAAACTTTTCGTTAGCAACGGAAGCTAGTAATTTATTGTGTTTTTTTTTTTTTTTTATCTTGTAATATTATCAGACATGAAACTGGCTATTAAAAAAGTGTTTCGTTTTTCACCATGGTCGATAAGCTGGGGAAAGAAATTGTCATCACATTACACCGCCCTAACACATTAAATTATCTTGGAGAAGATAAATACCTGAATAGAACACAATAAAACTTATTTTTCTTCGAGTGTCGCGTTATTCATAAAGGAGAAGTTGAAAAAAAAAAAAAAAAAAAATTTTTTTCCTCGTGTGGTTGTGTTATTTATAATAATAATCCACAAGATCTCGTTACACACGTCTCGTGATTTTCGGTAAAATTTGCTGATAATCAATTTTTGATGAGGTAATAGCATACCAAGGAAAAGATGTGGTTTAAAATCCGTTGCTCTTTACGAACAGCTGTTCTACGACAGCACGGAAGGATAAGATTCCTTTCACAGACGACCGAATATCCAACATTAGGTATGGTCGGGCACACAGAAGGTATAGAAGTGGTGAGGCCCGTGAGAGGAACGCAGGATCGTTTCGGTAACGAGAACGCGAAATTCGAACACCTTCGAAAAATCGGTTGTTGCGTCGCTGAATTACATTGTTTCGAACAAGTTAAAAATCAAAAGATTTCGTGCGGTAGTCAAATGATCTTGGAATTGGTTGAGAATTGATTCGTATAAATATAGATATCCATTCCGGTATTGGAATTCTCTCGTGTATTCGAGCGTACTTTGGGTCAAGATTCGGATATCGTTGGGAAAGAATTGTACAGTTTTGTGAACAAAGACGAACATCTCACTTTGAGACCCGAAGGGACGGCCGGGATCGTTAGAGCGTTGTTGAGTAACAATCGTGATCGCGAATTGCCTCAAAGGTATTACTATCATGGTCCCATGTTTCGACACGAAAAGCCTCAAAAGGGAAGGTTAAGGCAGGTGAAAATCTTTGCAAATTTTCCATTATGCAGTGATCGTAGTGTCACCGGTGAAATAACCTGAACAAAGTAAATCTGATGTTCAAGTTTGTGACTAGTTCTCTGGATGATTGTTTTATTTAATCGTGTGCACATTCTTGTTCATAACAGTTCGAGCAATTTGGAATCGAGATGTTCGGTCATGAAACTCCAACCTCGGATATTGAGGTGATCGATTTGGCGTGGTCATTTTTGAACAAAATAAGATTATCTGGAACGTTTGAAGTGAGTCGAGTTATGGGAATCTCTTACACTTCTTAAATAATTGTAACTCAAGGTCTTATTTCCATCAGCTCGAAATCAATTCATTGGCCGATATGGAATCACGCTTGCGCTATAGGAACGTGGTGAGAGATTATTTACGCCAGAATGAGTCCCAATTATCTGAAGATAGCGTGAAAAGGTAGATGTCGAGTTATGTTGTTTGTGTCTCTTTGCACGTATATCCGCAGTGAATGTCACGCGCACTTCATCAAAGGATATCTACGAATCCGTTACGCGTCTTGGACTCCAAAAATCAAAAGGACGTGTTGGTAGTTCAAAATTGTCCTTTGATCACGGAATATTATAGCCCCGAATCTGCTGAAAGGTTTGATATTGTGTGCCAAGGACTTCAAAGGTTAGGCATACCATACAAAATCAATCCTCGACTTGTCAGAGGATTAGACTATTATGAGAACACGATATTTGAATTCAAATGTGATCACCCTCACCTGGGAGCGTCACAAGGAACCATACTTGCTGGTGGTAGATATGACGGTCTAGTGCAATCGATGGGTGGAAAAGAGAAAATTCCCGGAATAGGGTATGTTCCTTTGATGTACGTGAATCCTCACTTAATCCTTCTCAAGCTAATCGATATTATGGGACAGATGGGCCGCGGGTATTGACAGGCTGGCTTTGATATTAGATGAGACTTTCGCGTTGCCAAAAGAACGACCGGTTGCCGTCATAGTTATACAAAGCCGAGATGAATCCTCATCGGATGATACTGACAATCTCAGCACACTCGACTACCATGGCCTCAATATATCGAAATCGTTACGTTCACATGACATCAAAACATTGTTCTATCACGCACCATCAAGCGCACGCAAGTCAAAACTAAAAACCTCTCTGGGAAGCGTATTAAAGGCAAACGCATCACATGCAATACTTGTGGGAGAAGATGAGGTGGGGAGGGGAGAGGTGACGGTAAAATATCTAGATTCAAAAATTCAAAAAGACGTTAAAATTGATGATATCGTGAACGTCATTATAGAATCTAAATCGGGAAACAAAGAGGCGGCGTAAAATAAATCCATAAATTTATAATTACGGGATAGATCTAATTATAAAAAAAATCACTGGATTAAAAACTTTTTATTCTCTAAACAATCCAATATACAGCATACGTATATACAGTACATTCTTTTATCTTTAGGATATATCAGACAAAGCTTAAGCAGAGAGGCTTTCCTGCTGAATCTCCTAATAAATTAAATTCCAAGTCAAAATTATTCGGGCTGGCCATTCTCGAGCCGAATCACTCAGTTTATTGACTCTAATGATAACTTTTCCTTATAAGTCACCTAAATTATTTGTGTAGAAGAAATTCACGGAATTCTTGCATACGACCTTGGCCAACTTTTTACCGCAGTTAAATCATCCCGAATTAAGATTAGCATATTCACGCAGAGCTTCGACCAGTGCTTTTCCTGCTTTGTCAGTGGATTTATGCAACTAATAGAACCTTTTGAGAGTAATAAATTCTCGTGCATTCTTAAATGAACCTGCGGCTATGTACAGTATTAAGGACGGTGACATAATCCAATGTTAACTGTAATTGAAAGTCTTTCCTTTTGTAGATAGAAGTTGTTTTCCAACAGATCTAATTTTCTCGGCATATTTTAAATGCAACTCTTTCAAAAAATATCTTAACCTCAAGATGCTTTATTGTAAATTTTTGTAAAAGGATCAGGACGATTTCTAGCATACTTCAGCGGAAGGACCCATTTTAATCAAGTCATCTTTTCTCCATTAATAAAAATCCTGTTATCTCATCATTTTATTCATATTATTCGCTGTTTTCAAGAGTAAATCGCATAATCAACATGTTTTTAAAAAGTTTAGAATCTCTTAAAAAGGAGTGACGCCACTTGATATTCTCCATAATAATACGCCCAGACTGTTACATTCAGAGCTTGACTGGGTGCGTCATAATCGATTTGGCGGTGACGTCAAAAGTTTCACCGATGAACTAAAAGTTTGCGATTACCAATTTATTTTGTCGTGAGAAATAATCTATTTATGTAATCATAATTGACACAATTGTTTTGCATGTTAATTGACAAAACCACCATGCATCAACAGATGTATTCCAAACCATTGTCTTTTACTTCAGAACTTTACCGCAAATATGATTTATCTTTCTCGCAAAAACATACTGAACGCAACATTTCTTTCGGCAATACTGCGGATGTGATAAATCTGAATCCATACCTTATTGGGTAAATGGTAATAAATAATGCACATAACCCCAAAGAATGATGCTTAATATGGAAATTGATTTCACGAACAACTGGATTAATTTATTTAATCCATTTCCATCTAATTGATCTGATTGACGTACAGTATAAGGATAATGTCAACAAAACAACAAAAAGAAATGTAACGAAAAAAGTCTACAGTAAATATTAATGTAACAAAATTACATCCCTTAATAAAAAAGATTAATCATTTACTTAAAGGATTAATTAATTTACAACGAAAAGAAAGAAAGAAGAATTCCAACTTTTTTAGAAACACATCTTCCTGAAAATAACGCCTCTCTTAGATATACAACGTACGATGTATGCGTACATAATTTACATTCGGTCTGTCTAAAAATGTCCAATTTATAATTTAATCACCTGTATGCTTAGATGCAACCTTGGTTTTTGAAAACAATATGATGACCTCATTAAAAATAAATTTTTTTCAAACTAGGAAAACGGGATAATTCAATACAGGACCAATATAATAAGTAAATCTTTACATAGATGATATTTCATGAGAGCCAAGCAGGTATTTTCAACTGTCGTTGACGGAACTTTCTTAAATTGACGATTGGTTTGTGTGTGTGTGTGTGTATGTATTTTAATTAAAATTACAAATTGCTTTTTTTTAGAATATTATTATTAATTACGTGTCATGCTTGTTTCTATATTTATAGAATTCCGAGAAACAGAAATCAATATTACGTAGTAAAATGTAAATTATGTAAAATTCATAATTAAGTGCGAGCACGTCACGTAACATTACCCAAAATTTTTCAAGATCTAGGATTAGAATGTGGAGTCAAAAGTGGCATGTGGAAATACTTGTGTGATATACAAATGCCTGATAAGCACAATGTACTTACCCTCTTCACGGAGAATATTCATTCGACAAAATGTGACCATCTTGTTGACAAAAACCTTGGCATTGAATCATTACGTTCCACAAACTGCACACTACGCGCTAAAGTAGAACGACGATAATTACTTGCTTGGTATCTTTGTTTATGACCGAATTTTGTTTATATATATAAAATTATTGTGGTGAATTAATTGTTCATTTTTTTTGAATTATCATCTTCGGTGTAAAGCGTCTTGTGTATAATATTGACTTTTGCAAAATTGTGTAATAAAAAGGTATAAATTGTCAACTACTTTCAGTCTATCTTCAACCATATATTGCGCTTGCAATAATAGATGGGCCAAGTGCACTCCAGAAGCTCTTTAGAACCTCAACACGATCTCACTTCATCCCACTTCCTCCTTAAAAAACATTTCTCATTCGCCGCACTAAACCTTACACACGGAAACTGTGCCAATTCACCTGACAGCTTCAGTAGTAACCCCTTTTGCAACGGAAAACTCCTTCAAGATGACGACCTACCATATCCACTCGACATCACCCCCGCCTTTCAGCTGGTCTCTCCAGAAACATATGATCACATCGACAAGCAGAAAAAGTACGATTTGCCAGGTTATGAAGAGCATATAGATAGAATACAATTAAGGCACGTGCTGTTTCGATATGTGTGGCAAGGAAATTTTTCCTCACCTCTGGATGAAGAATTGAAACGAGGAATTCGTGTGTTGGACATCGGGTAAGTGTCATTAGGAAAGTGACTTGGATGATGTTATTAGAAAGCTGCATCAATTTCTAATGCACTGAAATTTCAACCAGCTGCGGCAGTGGGTCATGGGTGTTGGACATGTCAGCCCAGTATCCAAATTCGTCCTTTATTGGTATTGATATGTGTTCTGACTACTTCCCGTCCAAGGATCTCCCATCAAACGTCCACTTTCAAAAACTCAACGTTCTCGACGGCCTTCCATTCGCCGATGGTGAATTTGACTTTGTACACTCGAGATTCTTGGTGCAATATCTAACCGAGTTACAATGGAACGAGTTCATTAAAGAATTAATTAGGGTCACGCGATCGAAAGGGTGGATCGAACTAATGGTACGTTGTCACGTGACTTGTTGCTTAATTTCGCGTTTGACGTGACTGAACGTTGATACCTTTTCTAGGAAATGGACATGATATTCCACAATGCTGGTCCCCATTCCACAAAATTACAAGATTCCAGTAAGCATCTCGTTAAGAAATGATCGATTATCAGATGCGCATATAGTGACATCGAAGCTAACATGTCCTAATTCTAAACATAGCAATAAACTACTTCCAAAATCAAGGAATACAAGCCGTCATCAGTACTTCGCTTCAAACTTACCTCCGTTCAACCGATGCCTTCACCCTGATAAATTATGATCATCGATCCAGTCCTTTAGGAAGATGGGCTGGTCGTTTGGGTGTTTACACGTTAATCTACTTTTCGTTGGCCTATAAAAATATGATGCGAGTATTACCCAAATACATGAACATTAATGAGGACGAATACTGTGTGTTACTGGAGAGGTTTCGCGGAGAATGTGAATTATTTGGAACTCTCATGGATACATTTAGAATTTGTTGTGAGAAAAAGTAAATCCTTTATTCGTTCCCGAGACCACTTTTAAAAGATTCTCTAATGCATTTTTCTTATTAATTTACTGAATTATCCCTAATCCTAAATTTGAGTATATTCCTTTCATGATTAAAATCCTGCCTTCGGTTTATGCATTGATTAGCCAAACTATTTAACAAAAATGACATAACCCTCAAAAAAATTCCCCAATTCTCGGTTCCAATTATTTATTGTAATTTATAATTTATTCCATTTATAATGTTCTTTAAAATGATTGATTAAAATGATAAACCAATTAACTAATTAATACGTATATTAAGATTAATAAATAATATAGTTTTTTTTAAAAGAAAAATATTACCAAGAGACATTTGTTATATATATATATATATTCGAAACAAATTTCTCATTTGTTAATAAATTTGTTATATTATATTTATTTTGTTAAGAAAAAATGCTTTATATTTTTTATTATAAATAATTAAAAACTCAAAAATTTTCAAAACAACTAATACAGTAAAATAGAGCTTTTGATTGAAATTTACTTAAGTTTAAGAATTTTGTTTATTCTTTAATTATATAAGAAAAGATTTATAACAATAAAACTATCTATATTAATATTATTAAATTTATTATTTGTTTTAATACAATCTTTACAAATAATATTTACATAATAATATTTGTTATATTATTTCAAAATTTTCAAAATTTTTATTTAATCAAAAAATTACAAACAATTTATTTTCTTCAGATAATTATTGCCTTTCAATTATTCAATTAAATTTCATTAAAATATCAAATTAAAAATTAAACTTGTTTAAATCAATTTTTTGAATTGATTTGTTAATCTGATTCTTTAGTTTATAGTTTAGTAATTGAATTATTTGTTAATAGTATTTCTAAAGATATAATTGTGAAAATAGTTGAAAAGTATATAAATAATATATTGAAATAGTATATATCTTTGAAAATATATATTCTCTTGTTTTCTAAAGTGTTTTTAAAAATTTTTGCTCTATTATATGAAATATATTTAAAATAGTTTTATCTTTTATTTAAAATTAAAACTCTTAATAATACCACTTTAATATTATTTTGATATCAATTTGATACTTAATTTTATTATAAATTTATATAAATAGATTACAATCCATATATTAAAATTATTATAAATTGATATTATTTTAATATCAGTTTAATATCAGGTTGATACTTTTTAAAATTTTATTTAAGACTATTTAAAGACTAAAGTTTTTAAGACTATTATTTTTCTTGAAAATTATTTGAAATAAGTTTTGATATTCTATGAATTCATTAAGATATTTAATTGATTTTTTTTTTTGAAAACTGATATTTGAATAGAGAGACTTTTTTTATTTTAACTAGAAAAAAATTCTACTCAAATAATAAAAAAATTTTCTATTTTTTTAATTAAATTAATAGTAGGTATAAGCTATTTAAATAAATAATTTAAAAGATATAAAATAATAAAGATATTGAAAAGATTAGTAATAATTAAAATTTCAATTGATTTCAGTATTAATTTTGATATAAAAATATTAAACTAAAAATTTTGATACTGTATTAATTAGTTTTAGTATTGTATTAATTAATATTAATATTTTTATAATTTATTTAAATATTATATTAAATAAAATTGTATTTCAAAAACTTTTTTCACTAATCCTTTTGCCAATACAAAAAACAGACATTCCAAAGAAATTTTATATTTCTTTGTAATAAAATCTATATACTTTCTTTAACAATATTAATATTTAGAGGCTTTAGTCTCTCTCCTTTTATTTATTTCTTTTTTTAATATAAACTTTCTATATTTTAACAAATAAATATAAAAAAAACCTATTTACAAAGTCAAAAATAAAAACACTTTGTGAGAAAAAAAAACCTGTAAAAAAAATATCTTTTTCCAAAGATTCAAGACTCTAGAAAAGACTGATATAGGCTTTTGAAATTCTTTTCTCATTTTTCTTAAGTCTTCTTTTTATTCTTTCAAGTATATAAACTTTTTTTTAATTTTTTTAAAAAATTTTGCCTATTTTAATTTGACTCTAAATTTTTTATTATACTAGAATTCTTAAATGATAATTGGTTTGAATTTTGAACTAGTTGATCTATATATAGCAAAAAATATAAACAAGACATATAACTTTTATATATACTATTTTGTACAATATGAAATCTAATAATGCTATTTAATACAATGAAAAGAACAAGATAATAAGATATTTTTTTTGTTAAAAAATGTTATATTATTTTTTCCTCTTCTTTTGAACTGGTTTTTTTTCTTTTTAAAATCAAAAGAAGTCTTATTCCAATCCAATAAAAAGTTTTTTTTATTGATAATTATTTCAAAAAAGCATTAAACCTTAGATTATATGACCTTTTTAAGCAATAATTTATATATTAGTCTTGTTATAAATACTTTAAATATTTCTAATCAATAATGAAATAGTAAAAATTAAATAATTTACCTAGTTACAAATAATAGTAAAGAATTTATTCTAATGAATCAAAATTAAAATTGGTAAGTTTTTATTTAACAGAATAAACTTTTTATTTACCATTTCTCCTTTTTCTTTATTTTCTTAAAAAATAAAAAATTTTTATCTTTTAGAACTACAAATTTATATTAAGGTGATAATCTAAATATAAACTGGTTATAATTTTTCTTATAATCAAGAAGTGATCTTGAAAAAGAAATAATTTTATTATTTTTAACAATTATACTTAAAGAGTTAAGATTTGAAAAGTTTACAATAGTTAAATTTTAAAAAGTTTATAATAATTAATATCATATAGTAATAACTTAATAAATTAACTCTCTTATAATAAAATAGTTAGTAAATAGCCAAATTATGTAAATAATATAGTGGTTTTGGTATTAAGAATTTAGGTATTATATACAAATTTATAAATAACTCATTGATAAGTATTTTGCAATATATATAATTTAACTTTAATATAAAGCCTTAAAGTTCAATATATTATTATTTTTTTTGTTTTTTTTTTTTTTTTTAAGGTGAAATGCAATATCTGCAAGGTTTTTATTGATAAGTATCTTATATCAATTACAGTTGCAGCATTAGGACTCATACAAGTTAGTACATTATATACTCTATACAGATTATTCCCCATACCTTCACCTTACATCCAGCACCCAAGAACCTATCATCTTAAACAATTTTCTTCGCAACACTAGGTGGGAATCTATAGAGTATAGAAATCCTACCACTAGTTTAAACTACCTAACCTATATAGTTCAGCTTTGTTTAGAGGTGACTTGATTAAAGGAGTTAGTCCAAATATCTCCTTACTTTATTATTAGACCTCAGATCACAGCCCCACTGATCTATAGCATCTACTGTGGTAACTGTAATTCTTCTTACTACCTGCGACTGATTATTTTTCAAATCAATTAGGCTCTATACTGAATTGAGATATTTTGGCTAGGGTTCTAACCACTATTAAAGGAGAGAATCAAAGTTCAGTTAGGGTGGGGCACAGTCCAGTCTGTACACCCAAACGCAAGAAGAATCTTGATTAAGGAAGTTAAACATATGCCTCTTAGCTTACCATGTTGTTCAACTATTATAGGCATGCTTCTGACAATCATCGTAATACTATCTGGATGATTATTACGCCATAGCACCTTTTCTGGAGATCACAATCTCAATGCCCACTAGATCAGCATGTGAAATGGCTTCCTATAAGAAACAGCATATAACAGGTTATGGTGCCAGGTACCATATAGATTCTATTCAATTACCTTCACTTGGGATTGAACCAGTATCTTGTAATCTGACATGTGGAGTATTAACCACTACATTATAAACCCACAAGTCTATATTATTGTTTTATTTTATTTAAAAAATTAAAAAATATATTAAATTGCAGTCTGATTAGAAGCAAATTATATTAAATAAAGTTGTAATTTTATTTTATTTTATTATTTTTTTTTTTTAAGGGCTAAGTTGCGATACACGCGTGGATTTTATTGTGAGATCAATTAAGATTACAATTACCATA